ATCTCTTTGAACTGGGCCCAAGTGAGATTCTCTTTCTCACCAGGATGCATGCCCCAGTAAGAATTCCACCAGAGACGAGCATCTCCAGTCATTTGCAACTGAGCACAGAGAATGCGATGTTTCTCTGAGCACTCAGTAATCTCAAAGATTGTCTCCAGACCTTGGATCCATTCTTCCAATAGACAAGGATCTCCTTGTCCAGAAAACTTCTCAGCATTGTAGCCACGAAACTGGGCAACTACTTCAGCTGATGTCATCTCTCTTTGACATGAATTCACTCTTCGTGCCATCTGGATTATTAATCCCATAATAAATTTTAGCACAATTAGAAATTAAACAATAATTTCAAGATAAGCCATTATTTCTATACGAGTTACTTATTAACTCGATAACTCTGAATTTCTCAAATCTAATAGGGAGTAATATGATATTTCTTAAAATCTTTGATTGAGTATCTTTTCTGATTTCTAAAATTTGGATATCCGAATCCTATTGAGCATAGACTTAGTAATTTGCTTATATAAAAACTTTCATAAAAACTTTTAACAACACTTACCTGGTAGTCGGCGAGGTGTGAGTGTGGTGTGGTCGGTTTTCCTGAAATTGTTTTCTGAAACTTAAACTTTTAGTATACAGAGCACTTGCTCTAGCTCTGATACCACCTGTAACACCCCACACTTTGTTGTGATTTTCTCATCTCATTCACACCAATTGATGATCAAAATTTCGTGCTTAATGTGATGTAATTGATTCCATATATTATTGAAAAAATGTAACCATTCATCATATAAAAATCTTTGGAACAAAATAGTAAAAATAATAAAAATCATCCTTTTTTATTACTTATGCATTTTATTTCAAGATGGCTGATTTTAAAACTCTTTTACTGAAAATTAATGCTCATATATGGTCTTGGATCATGCTAATAAACCGAGAATAATACAATTTACGGAACTCAATTCGGACTTAAAACGAACGTGTACCGTAAAACTGAAAATTCTAAAATTTAAATTCTTTACTCACAGTTTTTCTTCAATTTAATGAACATATTGCTTCTTAGGATCTAATATAATTATCTTGAAATATTCTACATTTACGGAACCACATTCAGACTTAAACCGAACGATTACCGTAAAACCAAAAATTCTAAAAATTTCGGTTTCTCTCAAAATAATTTAAATAGACTATAATGTCTAAATAAATTTTCTCACTTCTTTGAACATTTATCACTTAAATGTTCATGGATACTTAACCGCACTTCGAGACTTAACTTCTATTAACTTTTGCTAAGGCTTAATATTATGATCTTATCTTGACGACTTAAACACTTAGAAAAATTCTAAGTATTTAGTACTAAGGCTCGGCTATTTCCTAATTAAGTTCAACTCATGCTCGAACATACTTGGGTTTAGTTCACTACTTATCTTAAACGATTAATCAAAATATACTCAATTTTAATTATTCGTCATCTTATATTAATTAATCCCGTCTTATAAATCCATTTATAAAAATAAACAGACCGGAATTAATTAATTACTGAACTGGCTCGATTACTGAATAATATTGAACCAAGAATACTTTCGACTTAAAGTCGAATTTTTAATTGAATAACTTAATAACTGGCTCGGAACTAGGAACGAGCATTAATAAAAGTAATTAGGTCATACTTAGAATAATTACTTTTCTTAATTACTGAATGGGATATTACACCTGCCCCAATAACCGAGTCGTCCACACCTATCGTCGAAGGATAAGCCGTGGCAAAGCTTAGTTCGAGACAAACGAGTTGGGAAAACACACGATCCTTCATTACACCAGCAGGCCCTGCGCGGGGCTGAGCCCGGTCAGCCCGAGCCAGCGCCCGACCGCCCGGTTCAGTTACTTGTGAAATAAGAATAACGGTTCACAACCTAGATGGAAATGAACACCCCATCCGAACAATTGTAGTGCCAACTGCACGGTTTGTCTTGACTGATTAGTTGCACTAGTACACTTATGTATTGAACAGGATCCTAGAGATGAGAAGTTCATTTTATACTGATCGTCGTAAATGAACTAGGCCTTGGTTATTATTGTGTTCTCTTAACCCGTAAGATATTAAACATGCATATATATGTAATATATATTACTTTGATTCACTTGGGTGTGGTTGAGTTCGCTGGATCAATATTCCTACTGTTTTGGGTAATATTACTATATATAGTAGGTGCTGTTAGGATATTTATGGTCACCATGTTTGTTAGTCTGATGATGTCCCCGGAGTGAGTTCATGAAGGATTATTATGCTAAACCCTGCAGGTGGATTAAATTCCGGCATAGAAAGAATGTGATGAACAAACGCTAGCTTCGGTAAAATAATAAAAAATTAATTAATTCTTGATTGTCAGTAATCGAATTAATTAATGGACATTATATCTTAAACGTGGGGAGGTATATCGAGTAATTATAATTGGAGTCTCAAATGTAATTTGGTTAGGAAAAGAGAGTTCAATAGTATAATGTTAGTGGCCCATTAATATTATTTAATTAATTAGAGGAGTGACTTTGGCCCACAATTGGTCTAATTAATTAAGGAGCCCTATTCCTAATCTTCTAAGTGTAACGCCCAGAATCAGTAATAATATTAAGAACGGTTTCACTGATCGACTATAATTGAAATCCGTATTATTCAGAAATATCTGAATTATGTTTTATATGCTAAATGATCAATTATGTTAGACTATTCTTTGGAATTTTCTATGTCAAGTTAAGGCCAAGATCAATCCATTAATTTGGGTTGATAAGTGATATCTATTCGGCTTTAGAAATTATTTGCTTCGAACCCTAGTTTCGTTCCGAGTCATTTTTCCAAGTCATTCCCGAGCAAAGTCGAGCCTTGGTATTTTGATACTTAGAATATTTTTCTAAGTGTATTAGACTATCAATGTAACGCCCCACTTTGATTATAAAGAAATTCTGGACTTTTAGAAAAATCAGAATAAATTTTTTTCAAAATTTATTTCAAACATTTGTGGCGTTACTCATTTATTTCAAATCATTACCATAACATAAATCATCTAACTCCCAAAACGGGATTCATAAATCTATAAATCCTCAATTCACCCAAAACGGGTTCCCCAAATAAATCTCAAGTTTTAAGACATGCCAATGTCAACGGGGCATCTCCCCAATAGTATCTCAATACTTCATAAATTCTCAAAGTTCGAAATTGCATAAATCATAAATATAGCGGAAGCAAAATCAATTAATAACCGGTCTCATAGACCGACTGCCACTCGCTCTACTCCGTCGTCGTACCCGCCTTGCTTAACCTGAAACATGAATTTCAGGTGGGGATGAGCACAGTTGGAAAAAGTAGTGCTCAACACTATGCAGCAAACATTATTCACAATAATGAAACAGTAATCAATAATCAATAAGGTATGATCTCAGGATGTATACGAATCAATTAATTATCCCAATCTCCTATCAATCATATCATTAATAGACTCATGTGCACACCTATAGCAATAGACTACTGCCGAACTATATACCGAACGCCTTATCTAAGGCCTTACAACGAGTGTCCGGCCAGTAGGAGTATCCCGCCAGCCAAGGCCTCACCTTGGTCTTACCAACGGGGTTGTCCAGCACAGGGACCTATAACCCAGGACTTACGGCTCAAAATGTGTCCAGCACAGGGACCTTTAACCTAGGACTTACGGCTCAAAATGTGTCCAGCACAGGGACCTTTAACCCAGGACTTACGGCTCACAATAATAAGGAGACTACCCAACGGGTACGTTCTATAGATACGGGGATAACCGTTCGACGGCCGGTACAGCTCACATCGAATGCTACATGTTCCACATGCATACTTGATCATACCAAAAATTTAAAAACAGTAATAACATTTACAGCATAGACAATTTTACATTAAACCCACCTGGTAATCCGGTAGAAAAGGCACACAATCAAGACGGTAGGTCGAGGGCTTGACTCCTCAAACCTAAAAAATTAAGGATTTAATTATTATTAAAAATTTTGATTGGGTTGATTAGGCCACACAAACAGGTAAAGCACACATCAACTACTAAACCGCATCAAAAGGCCGAACACCGAAAATAGTAAATCAGAGCCCCAAAACAATAAGTCAAACTTATAATACACATAAGTTCTCACATTGGAATAGAAAAGCATGGAAATTCTTAAAGCAATAATTCCAATGCATTTATCAATAGCACACTTCGTATCTATCCAAAACACATTGATTCATTTCATATGACTACAGAGTTCCTAAAATTTGAAATCTAAGACTCAGCCATATCAAGATAATAACATACTGCAGCAACTCATCTCATAAGGTGACAATTTGAAATAATCTCAATTCTTCTTTATTTCAACCAAATTAAACCTGCTAAATTCTAACATTTTAAAACTCCTTTAAGCTCATAGATTCAAGGCAGCAATACTAATATTTTTTTTTTAAACACATAAAATAGCAATTAAAAAAAATACACACAAATACAATTCACTTAAGAGCTCAGCACTCACATAAATAAAAAGTCCAAAACAAACATATAAACCATCTCACTTTCTTCCTTCTTTTTCTCAATCACATAACACATGTTTAAGCCAAATAAACTGATTTGATAGGCATCTAAAAAAAAAAAACACACTCCATATCCAACATAATTATCTCATGATGCTCAATATATCAATACACACATAACAATTCCGACAAAAGCACATAAAACCGTACCCATTTCTCTATTCCTTTTTTGAAATCGAACATCACACTTTAATGGCTTATAAACTAAAAGTAGCACCTCTGGACTAAGGCATTTAACAGCATAATAACCACCAAAAAGTTCAGCACCTCTCAACAAAGGCCACGGCTTAATTATCAACACATAAGAGAACACAATAACTCAGCCATAAACAAGGCTTAAAAGGTACAGCCGTACAACCAAATTACTTCTCGTCGAGAATAAAAACGGGGAAAGAGGTTCAGGTCAAGGCTAAAGCGCTCGAAGACGACTCGGCTGGTTGTTGCTCTCAGCCTGATTGTCACTCGTTCGGCTCCGGAGCCCGATGGAACCGGCGAGGCGTTGCAGCGGTAGTTCGCGGCTGCCGGAGTGCGTGCGGGCTGAGAGGCGGCTCAGCATGACGTGCGTGGATCTCATCGGCAAGGTTCTACATCGCGGCTTCCTCGACGGGGCTCGATTGAGGCTCGCGGCTGACCAGAAGGCTCGTGACTGGGGTCTGTCGGGATGGCTCGAGCGACGACAGCTGAACAGAAGGTCGCTGGTGAAAGAGGGGTCGTCGGGTGGTGCAGGTGCAGAGGTCGCAGCCCGTCGGTGGTCATATCTGCCAGAAAATCGGGTGGCCCTGGCTCACCATCTTTGCCTGCCTCTACTGCAAGGTCGCTGTCAGTGGCTTCTTCAATCGAAGAACGGAACTCCCTCACCGGGATCTCGCCAAATGCACCAAAAATTCGCCGAAACCTGGTGGTGAACAGGCCGGCCCTCGTCACCTAAAATCGCTGTTCAGCATCACCGGGGATTTCTCAGCCACGAACAATTGAGCCGGCTATTTGATTCCAGCCGCGAACAGAACTCGTCTCGCCGGAGGAACTGTTCGCGGTGACAGACGGGGGTGCAGGGACGCCGTCGATAAGGGCTCTTCCCGACAGGGGTGCGAGCATGGCCGGCGATGGTGGCTGATAGGTCCAATTTGCAAGCGAGATGAAGAGGGGTGTCGGGGAGGGATTTGGGCGATCTGTGAAGGGTGTCGGCCCTGCTCGCGAGAAGATGACAAGCGCGACCAATTCAAGGGGGAAGGAGATGAGGGCGATGATTGATGAAAGTGAGATTTGATTTGCAAGATGAGGGAACTGATTTGAGAGAGAAGAGAACTTCTCTATTCTGGCGTGAATGAGGAGAAAAGCTGTTGGTGCTATGCTTGAGCGAGACAATTATAAGACAAATAATTAGATTAGGGTTAACTAATCTTGTTACACAATATAACACATGTTGGGATCTGTGAGGATCTCGTTATGTACAAGTCACGAATTCAATAGCAAACGTAAACCTATGCGCAGCGGATCTAAAGGTTTGACGTAGAGAACTTACGGCTTAAAATTTATGTAGATCTGGTTGACCCGAACGGTTAACCGCAATTGATTGACCGCAACACGCGTCTTGGGTTGCACGAACAAGATCAGATCAAAACTGGATCAAACGGATGCAAACAGATCAAAACGAAATTTTGCTGCCAGACACCTTCCGGCGGCGCGTGAGGGCGCGTGCGGCGTCGGATTCCGGCGACGTCGGCGGCGATGGAAAGCTCTCGTCGAGACGGTCGTCTGGGTATACTGTACGTCTCAATAGGACTTCCGGTTAGTTCTGTAGGTCAAAATCAATTTCGTCTCGGTTTACCTACAGATCTTCTACTGTATTACTCAATACACCCTTCTTCAACTTGTACCAGTGGAGCAACAAGAAGAAGATAAAGCTCGAATGAGATCTAGAGAGAGAGGCGTGTTTCACGTGAGAATGAATTCTATTCTCTTCTCATGAGCTTAATGATGTATATATAGAGCTACAGTAGGGACCCTAAGGAGATTAGGAAAAGGGCTCCTTAATTAATTAGACTAACTGTGGGCCAAACCCACTCCTCTAATTAATTAAATAATATTAATGGGCCACCAACATTATATTATTGCACTCCCTTTCCCTAGCCCAAATTACATTTGAGACTCCAATAATAATTACTCGATTTACCTCCCCACGTTTAAGATATAATGTCCATTAATTAATTCGATTACTGACAATCAAGAATTAATTAATTTATTATTATTTCACCGAAGCTAGCGCTCGTTCATCACATTCTTATTATGCCGGAATTTAATCCACCTGCAGGGTTTAGCATAACAATCCTTCATGAACTCACTCCGGGGACATCATCAAACTAACGCACATGGTGACCGTAAATATCCTAACAGCACATCCTATATATAATAATATTACCCAAAACAGTAGGAATATTAATCCAGCGAACTGAACCTCACCCATGTGAATCAAAGTAATATATATTATATATATCTGCCTGTTTAATATCTTACGGGTTAAGAGAACGCAGTAATTAACCGAGGCCTAGTTCATTTACGACGATCAGTATAAAATGAACTTCTCCTCTCTGGGATCCTGTTCAATACATAAATGTACTAGTGCAACTAATCAGTCAAGACAAACTGTACAGTTGACACTACAACCGTTCGGATGGGGTGTTCATGTCCATCTAGGTTGTGAACAACTATTCTTGTTCGCAAGTGACTGATAGAGTGATCTTCGGTTCGCCCGATGACGACCCACCCTATCTAAGTGCAGAACAACAGAACGTAGAACTTGTTTAATCTAACATGATTCTCATTCATAAAGGGTAAATGTGTAATAACATGCAAAGCCAAGCTTTCAGTATATAACACTAACAATCTCCCACTTATACTTAAAGCTTTCGCTTTTACAGTATAGTCCTATCAATCCGTTATTCTAAAAGACCTATGTCGATCCTATTGCCATGCATCCTCTGATGCAATCTTGGCAACATCAACGTCTCCTCTACCAACGATATCCCGAATCAGATGGTATTTGCGCTCTATGTGTTTGCTTGCCCTGTGGGCTCGAGGTTCTTTTGAGTTCGCTACTGCTCCACTGTTATCACAGTACACGGTGATACCACGTGGCAAACTCGGTATAACCTCTAAGTCCACTAAGAAGTTCCTGAGCCAAACTGCCTCTTTCGCTGCCTCTGAGGCTGCTATGTACTCGGCTTCCATGGTGGAGTCTGCCACGCATTTCTGCTTAGCACTCCTCCATGAAATGGCTCCACTTCCCAAGGTAAACACATAACCTGAGGTTGACTTACTTTCATCCCTATCTGACTGGAAATCAGAATCACTGTAACCCAGAGGTAACAAGCTGTCTGCACGGTAAACTAACATGTACTCCTTAGTCCTTCTCAGGTACTTGAGTATATGCTTCACCGCAGACCAATGTTCCCGTCCTGGATTACTTTGATATCTAGCTACCATGCCAACGGCGTAGCTAATATCCGGCCTTGTGCATAGCATTGCATACATGAGACTTCCTACTGCCGAAGCATAAGGAACTGTCTTCATCTCCTCTATCTCCTTAGACGTCTTAGGAGACATCTCCTTAGATAAAGGTATTCCATGTCTAAAAGGTAACATACCTTTCTTGGAATCCTGCATGCTAAATCTGGCCAAGACAGTATCTATGTATGAAGACTGGGATAAGCACAACATTCTCTTCTTACGATCTCTAATGAGCCTAATACCAAGAATGTGTCCTGCTTCACCTAAGTCCTTCATATCAAACTGCTTAGACAACCACACCTTTACGTCTGATAACTCCTTCTTACTGTTTCCAATAAGCAGTATGTCATCTACGTAAAGCACAAGAAACACCACCACGCTCCCACTGATTTTCTTGTAAACACAATGCTCATCCGGACATTGAGTGAACCCGTACGACTGGATCACCTCATCAAAACGGATGTTCCAAGATCTCGAAGCTTGCTTCAGTCCATAAATAGACCGATTAAGCTTACACACTAGATGCTCACGACCTTCAGCAATGAATCCCTCTGGTTGCTGCATATAGATGTCTTCTTGCAGGTTCCCATTAAGGAAAGCTGTCTTGACATCCATCTGCCAGACCTCATAGTCCATATGAGCGGCTACAGCCAAGAGAATCCGAATGGACTTAAGCATAGCTACTGGCGAAAAGGTCTCATCATAATCAATACCCTCGATCTGGGTATAACCTTTCGCAACAAGCCTAGCTTTAAAGGTTTGCACCTTCCCATCCAATCCTCTCTTTCTCTTATAGATCCACTTACATCCAATGGGTCGTACCCCATCGGGTGGTTCTACAAGATCCCAGACCTGATTAGAGTCCATTGACCCCATTTCAGCTTTCATTGCAATATTCCATGAATCTGCATCTTTATCTTGGAGTGCCTCATCGTAAGTTCTTGGGTCCGATTCTAGGCCTCCTGGAACTGAGTCCGATGACTCTCCAAGACCTATCCATCGGTCGGGTAAATGAGAAACCCTCCCACTGCGACGAGGCACTGTCTGCACTGGTACACTCTCAGTTTTCCGTGTTGCAGTATTATGTGATGTATCTACTTGCGCACTCGGTGGGGAACCATCGATCTCACCCCTTAACTCCTCTAAGGCTAGTCTACTCGCGGGCTTATGATTCATAATATAGTCTTCTTCCAAGAATCTAGCGTTCGTGGAAACGATCACCTTCTGATCCTCGGGACTATAAAATAATCCACCTTTCGTTCCCTTGGGATAGCCTACAAAAACTCGTGCTTCCGAACGTTTCTCCAACTTGCCAGGTTCCTGCACTAACACGTGTGCAGGACTACCCCAAACTCGAAGCTGTGAGAAACTGGGCTTGCGCCCTTTCCACATCTCATAAGGGGTAGTATCAACTGACTTCGACGGAACCATGTTCAGAATATACGATGCCGTTTCCAAAGCCAAACCCCAGAACAAATTTGGTAACCTCGAATAACTCATCATAGACCTAACCATCTCCATAAGAGTCCTATTTCTTCGCTCTGCAACCCCATTCTGCTGGGGCGTGCTGGGTGTAGTCAGTTGGGATTCAATCCCAGCTTCCGATAAGTATGTCCTGAACTCTCTAAAAAGGTATTCGCCACCTCGATCAGAACGAAGTGACTTGATACATTTACCATGAAGCTTCTCCACAATTGCCCGATACTCCTTGAATTTCTCAAAGCATTCGGACTTGCGGTGCAACAGATAAACGTACCCATATCTCGAGTAATCATCTATGAAAGACACATAGTACTCGAAACCTCCTCTAGCCTGGATCGACATAGGACCACACAAATCAGAATGAATCAATCCTAGCACTTCTTGGCTCCTATACCCCTTTGCCGTAAACGGCCTCTTGGCCATCTTACCTTCCAGGCATGATTCGCAAGTTGGATAGTGCTCCTCCAATGGACCGAGATGTCCACTGGCCACTAACTTTTGAATCCTCCTAAGGTTGATGTGTCCAAGTCTAAGGTGCCACAGATATTCTTGATTCATCTGCGAAGACTCCTTCCTCTTATTAGATGTAGTTATGACATTATTCAATTCATTATGTTGCACTGTGGGAGAGTTCGGTTTGAGAACATATAAATTGCCAACTAATGAACCACAACATATGAAACGATTTTCAAAACGAATAATAACCATGTCATCAAACGAAACTGAAAAACCATCCATAACGAGTTTAGAAACTGAAACAAGGTTCTTTCTAAAACTAGGAACATAAAGGCAATTTCTCAAAACCAAACTACTACTATCGAACGATAAAGTAACGTCTCCCACTGCAACAGCCGCCACTTTCGTAGCATTGCCCATGTAGACGGTGATCTCTCCCTCCCTAAGTCGCTTGGTTTCCTGGAACCCCTGCAAAGAATTGCAGACATGATCAGTGGCTCCAGTATCTACACACCAGGTTCTGGTAGATACAACCGCTAAACATGTTTCTACGACATTAACGAGAGAGTTACCTTTCTTGAGGAGAGGGCAATCGACCTTCCAGTGTCCTGACTTATTGCACTTGTGGCATCTTCCTTTCGGTTTCTTTGCCACAGCCTGAGGGGTCGGTCGTGGGTAAACCGGAGCATCCTGTGCCTTCGCCTTTCCTGCAGACTTCTTTCTCTTCCTGCCCTTGTGAGGC